GCAGACAAGCTGTTAGGGACAAATTTCAATGATTCAGGCCAGCTCATTTCCAAAAAGGGGCTCTCGCTTCAGATTTGCTCAAATTCTATGGCCCGAGTGTCCACATTCTGTCACCACCAAGCAGATGGAGGACGGCTTCTTTTCAAAATGGGACTCCCGCCTGAGACTTCAGCAGTTTGTATGGCCAGAGCCGCTGAAGCTGTCCAACAACTGCACGGAGGGACGCAGGATCTCGCCTGAGTGACAGACCCACCAAACACTCGCCATTCAAGCGGCTTCCGCTTCGCTCCCCCCCCCCTGAACCTAGTGCGTTGCGCGGAAGCCCAGGTTCAAGAGCGGATTCTTACATGTGGTCTGGTAGGGAGCGGATCGGTGCGGATTCCAGTTTTCAGCTCGGTTGTAGCGACTGCATGAGCCAAACCTCCTGTTCGCACATGATCACGAGGCGCCTCGTGGGGAAAAGGTGCAGCGCAAGGTGAGGCGAGCAGAGATCATCAGCTGGCAGGGCCGGGGCCTGCTGACCTCAGCGGGAGCGCGTTTCACGGGCGCTCGCGCTGGAAACAGTCGGCGGCGCGTTTGACCCGAGGTGGTGCCCCCCCAGCGAACTTTCGGCGCCGTCGAACAGAACCAAGGGGGACTCCCCCCCCCGCCCCGAACCCCGCCCCTGGCGACGGCGCCAGCGCGCCGGTGCCAGCACAGGCGGCGGCGGCGGCCAGCAGCGCCGACGGGGGCGACGCGGCTACGATGACCAGGACGAATACGGTGACGACAAGGTCGGGCCATGAATGTCGGAATAGTGACGGGCCGGACACACACACACACACACGCACACGCACACGCACACGCACACACACACACGCACACGCACACGCACACGCACACGCACACGCACACGCACAACCACACGCGCACGCGCGCACGCGCACACGCGCACACGCGCACACGCGCACACGCGCACGCGCACACGCGCACACCCGCACACCCGCGCACCCGCACACCCGCACACCCGCACACACAACACACAACACACACAACACACACAACACACACAACACACACAACACACACAACACACACAACACACACAACACACAACACAACACACACTCAACACACACAACACACAACACACACAACACACACAACACACACCACACACACAACACACACACAACACACACACCACACACCCCATGAACACCACACACAACACACACAACACACAACACACAACACACACAACACACACAACACACACAACACACACAAACACAACACACACAACACACAACACACAACACACAACACACACACCACACAACACACAACACACAACACACACAATACACAACACACACACACAACACACACAACACACACACACACTGTACACACAATACACAACACACAAGACACAACACACAACATACACAACACACAACACACAACACACAACACACAACACACACACACAACGCACAACACACACAACACACAACACACACAACACGCAACACACACAACACACACAACACACAACACACACACACAACACAACACACAAAACACACAACACACACAACTCACACAACACACACAACACACAACACACACACAACACACAACACACAAAACACACAAAACACAACACACAACACACACAACACACAAAACACACACAACACACACAACACACAACACACACAACACACACAAACACACAACACACACAACACACACAACACACAACACACACAACACACACACAACAAACACAACACACACAACACACACACAACACACACAACACGCTAACACGACACGCACACACAACGCACACAACGCACACAACGCACACAACACACACAACACACAACACACAACACACACAACACACACAGACGCCACACACAACACACACAACAAACAACACGCACAACACACAACACACACAACACGCAACACACAACACACACACACTCTCAACACACAACACACACAAAACACACACAACACATGCACACAAAACACACAACACACACAAGACACACACAACACAAGCACACACAACACACACACAACACGCACAACACACACAACACACACAACACACACAACACACAACACACACACACACAACACACACAACACACAAACCACACACAACACACAACACACACAACACACACAATACACACAACACACAACACACACACACAAACCACACACAACGAACAACATACACAACACACACAACACAAACACACAACACACAACACACAACACACACAACACACACCCAACGCACACACAACACACACAACACACAACACACAACACACGCAACACACAACACACACACAACGCACACAGCACACACAATACACGCACAACACAGCACACACACAGCACACACACAACACACACAGCGCACACACAACACACGCACACACAACACAACACACACAACACTCACACAACGCACGACACACGCACACAACACACACAACGCACAAAACACACACAGAACACACCCAACACACAACACACACAGCACACAACACACACAACACACAACACACACAACGCACAACACACACAACACACACCACACAACACACACAACACACAAAACACACAAGAACACACAACACACACAACACACACAGCACACACACAACACACAAAACACACAGAACACACACCATTCACAACACACACGACACACACAACAAACACACACAACACTACACACAACACACACAACACACAACACACACACAACACACAACACACACAACACACGCAACACACAACACACACAACACACAACACACAACACACAACGCACACAACGCACACAACACACACGACACACACAACACAACACACGCAATGCAACACACAACACACATAACACACAACGCCACACACACAACAACACACAACACACACAACACACACAACACACAACACACAACACACACCACACAACGCGCAACACAACACACACAACACACAACACCCAACACACACACACGGAACACACACATACGCACACACAACACACACAACACACAACACACACAACACACAACACACAACACACACAACACACAGAACGCACAACACAAAACACACAACACAACACAACACACAACACACGCAACACACAACACGCGACACACGCGACACGCCCACACACCACGCACACACAACACACGCAACGCACACAACACACACAACGCAGACATCACACACAACACACAACACACACAGCACACAACGCACACAACACACAACACACACAACACACGCAACACACAACACACACCACGCACAACACACACAACACACAAAACACACAACGCACACAACACGCACGACACGCACAACACACAACACACACGCAACACAGACACGCAACACACACACACACAGCACACACAACACACACAGCACAACACACACACAACACACACAACGCACAACACACACCACACACAACGCACACAACACTCACAACACACAACGCAACACAACGGACACCACAACACACAAGACACAACACAAACAACACACACAACACACACAACACACACAGCACACACATCCAATAATATGAACTCGAAACTGGGGTTTCTCGGAGCGTGGTCCGATGCACAGGACCTTTGGGATCTCTGGAGTGTGGGCTCTGCGAGCCTCAAAGCCTTTTCTCGCCTGGTTGCACACAAGCGGGCGCTGTCGCCAAACAGCTCAAGGGCCCTCCGAAGCCCAGACGGCAGCGGAGGCAGCGGGCGAGAGGGAGCGAACGGGAGCAGGCACGGGCAACCAGTGCACATGAGACGTGAGAGAGGGGATTGGGGCAATGATAAACGCGAGCGAGATTGCACTCACTATCTTTACTGTTGCCCAAAATCTCTCGAACAAACGTACGAATTAAACTGCTTCCGAAGCTCGGATTCACGCGATAGCTTACGCAGCAAGCGTGCGGGCAGGCTGTCGCGCGGCGGCGAAAACACTAAAAACGTCAATATGGAAAATAAAATGTCGCGCGGCGGCGAAACTCGGAAAACATCAATATGGAAATGAAATGTGACATCTCAGACGTGTCACCTAGCCTGATGAAACAGAAAAAGAAACCGTTCACTCACGAGGGTAATCCGCTATCCGTCCGGAGACTCAGTTGATTATTCGCCAGAATCTCCTTTAACTGACTCGGAGGTTTTACCTTGGTCAAATGATCCGCAACTTGTTTATCGGTCGGCACCCAAAACACAGTAGATTTCGGATTCTCGTCATCAAATTCTTCGGCAACATGTGCTACCGCAGCAATGTCTATACTCAAACGCCGTTCCAGCGTTGTAGATGGGGTCCCTTCTTTAGTTAGAATGTCATACAAAGACTTGCAATCCGTTGCCACCTTAAATCGGCATGAAAAAACAAGGAGCTTACCTGAAATTCCCGGCTTGAAGTCTCGAAACAGAACCTCGGCAAACAAATGACGTAGGAAATAAGCTGTGTCCACACCAGCATCCATTGCCATTGCTTCGGCGGCCAAAGTACTTCGAACTACTCGACGAATACGGTGCGAACGCCAGTCAAGAAGAGTAGCCGCTCCACCCTTGGAACTCAAACTATCTTGATATGACAAGAAAACCATGAAACCGGCTTGACTTTGATTCTCCTGAGCGATAGCCCATGCAGCATCAGTAAATGCAATGAGAACGCTTCTCGTAAAATCCAGCGGCGTAACAAATAGTCCAACATCTCGGGAATCTCGCGCCTCGCGTAAGATACGATTAATAGCCATCAAATTGGAAATCTTCGGATTCGATCCTTGTCCAAGAGAAGTCGCAGCCGCTAGATCCGGCCTCGTCTGACCAACCAACCACTGACAAGATCCTACACCACTAGCGAAATTGGTCCTTTCCTCGACAGTGAGCTCGGCCTCAGGCGTCGCAGATCTCCATCGCGGCAGTGGTGCCGGCACGCATTGACTACAACTCCTTCTGGTTGATGAAAATCGTGCCGTTTTCGTTCTTACTGAGACGCTTGCCACAGTAGGTCAACTTATTGTCCCACCATTTGCCGAAAGTGAACCGGTGGCGGATGGTTTCCAACAGCTTGGAGCCTTCTCGAGCGTCTGCGCCTCCGATGAGGTCGTCCACGGGGATGCCGATAATCATGATAATGCGATGTGACTTGTTGTAGAAACAGAATAGGGCCTTGTCCAGCAAGCACTGCTTGCCGCCAATGTGCATGAGAAAGTCACGAAGTTCTCGCCACCACAGGCGAGGGCTATTAACGAAGCCATAGATGGCACGGCGTACAAGTAGAAGAGCACCGCGTTGAACACCTGGAAGTCCTTCAGAAGGTTGCCGAAGGTAAATCGGCTTGTCGCGCTGGGCCTTGGTCTGATCGGCCTGTAAGAAGGCTGTAGTCACGTCGCCTCCGAACAAGTTGAAGTCCCAGCTTGAGATCGTCCGCCGCAAGATGTAGAAACCAGCTCTCGTAAGGGTTGGTGCGTCACGTCTGAGAGTCATGATATCGGGGTCGTTGTAGCCGATACCCACGATTCTTGCCTTGGCGTCGATCTCGGAAACTCCACGTCCGGCATTCTTGTCGCGATAGCAGACTCTTGATGGTATAATGCGCTTATTATTCTCGGGGTCGCTCTCGATAGACTTGGACGTCTTCAGATCCAAGACCTCCACGGCTGAAAAGCGTTGCCAAGATGGCCATTCACGGGCCAGAGCTTCTCGGAATAGAGGTAGCTGATCTGCAGGGATCTGCGAATAGGGGATCTCACGAATGAGCGCCTTCTGGTCCTTCTTGGTCATAGTGAAGCTGCCGTTGCTGTTGAGGTAGACCTCGTAAGCGGGCGACTCGAGAAGGGTTTACTGCTCGCACATGTAGATCGGGATGGCAGAGTTCTGCTCAGTGCCGTTGAAGCAAACGTAGGTCGCACCTGGTGCCTGTGAAGTAGGCGGTGTAGTTGGCGTCTCTGGTTCTGCAAAGCGAGGTCGGCGGGCAGCTCGAGTATCTCCCACAGCGTCTTCGGGTAGTGGCCGAACAGCTGGCAATATGTTGTCCGTCATGTTGTCCCCGGAGCCGCTGGCCTCGGTTAGCTGTAGTGGTTCAGCCGGTGGCTGAGCAGGAGGTGGTAGAAGTCCTCGAACGTGTTCACGTCCTCCTTCATCTCGTAGAGCGGCGGCTAGATCAGACACGATCACATCGTTCGGGTCGATCTCGGCAGGTGGTGCCGCACGTTCGTCGTGAAATCGTTCGGGTGGTGCTTGAGTAGCCTTGCGTAGCTCAGTCAAGTCCTCCTCATCAGGTATCCACAATTCGGTACCATGTGTTTCTCGAAGTTGTTCTTTTGAAACCAAGATCGGATGTCCTGAAGACTGCACCCAAACATTGTTGTCATCGGCACCGCCACTACCACCAGGGCCGACCACAGTAGCCACAATGAACCTTGCTGGGTATTGCATGCCCTTCTTGTTCTTCGCCTGACGCCAGAAAGCCACTCGATCTCCCGGTGCGTAGTCTCCTCGGTAAGGTCGGCTAACTCGAAACATCGCGCGCTTGAGAGACTCGGACCTGTCGTACTCGGTGAATGCCATGTCTGCGAGTGCTCGTACTCGGGCTCGTTTAGCGAGCTCGGCATCTGCGGTCATGGCGCTATGTACGACGGCAGAGTTAGCTGGATCGGTGATGCTGTCGGGGATCCTCGGGTCCTTACCGAAAGTCCACTGATATGGTGAATCACCGCATTGTCGGACACGAGAATTGCGAGACTGGTTGATCGCTGGTGCCATCAGCTTCATGTCCTCAACTCCGGCAAGCTGCATCGTATCAATCACCTTCTTGGCCATGTGCTTCCAGAGTGTGATGTTAGCCTCGACTCGCCCTGACTGCCAGTGAGCTTCAGCTGGGGGCTTCTCGACGTGAAAGTCGTGAGCCTCAAGATGTTCAACAAAAGCGGCCTGAAAAGCTCCGTCACGATCGCACACCACATGATCTGGATAACCAGCCCAAGATAACCAAGCCAAATTGAAAATCTCCAGCACCTGAGTAGGATCACGAGTCGGACAATGAACCACCACCATCAGTAAACCTGACATCTCCAAAATTCCCAAGAACTGATGTGTCGTAAGAGCAGAATCAGGCAGGTAAAAGAAATCCAAACCAACTCGAGCATTGAACGAACCCATATATGGAATCTTGGCGGGTCGTGGGCGTCGTGGTTTGACGTTTCGTAAACATGAACTGCATCGCAGACGTCGGCTGAAATCGATCGCAACCTGGCTCGCGTCGCTCGCGTTCAGGAACCTCGTGAAATCAGCCTGCAGCGGGTGGCTCAAGTTCTGGTGCATCCTAGCAACGACGTGGGCGGCACGCTTCTCCTCCGGCGTGAGCGGAGGTCCGGCGAACCAAATCTCGTCGCCAGCCCGTTGTTGGACAGGCTGAGGCTGAAGTTCGTCTGGCTGTGGTTCGTCGGGTACTGGTACTGGCTGTCGTGATTCGCCTTCGATTGGTGGTCGAGGTGGTGCTGGTACTTCGCCGACTGGAGCACGTCCGATAATGAACAAACCGTATCGTACTGGGTCTTGAAATCATTCTCGTGGTGCGTAGGCCTCTGGGACGTACTCATGCTCGACGATGGTGCGATTATCTTCGAGTAGAAGAACAGAACATCTATGGACGTCTGGACCGTACTCAGGTTTAAGACGCTTTGCCTTCGGCTGGAAGGCGGCCTGCATGTACAAGATCTGCCAGGGAACCAACTCGGACACCTGCCTCCGCATCTCTGAGTCCTGCGCCACCTGAGCTGAGGGGGCGTTCCTTCGACTCATGACATCGACGACCGATTGCATGATGTTCTTCCACTTTGTTTCGTCCATGTCGGGAGCCGAATAGCAGACGTGGTGCACAGTAGGGGCTGGAGCGTCGTAGGAGACGGGGTAATAACTGCACAGGTAGATGCCGTGTCCGAACTCCTCGCTCTCGATGACCCTGGTGAGACCTCGGCAGATGGCGTCTGCTAGCTGCCAGGTGTAGACCTGTGAGAGCTTGGTGTTGCCATTAGGTCCACCTCCTTGCACTTCTTCATGTGGATGGCTGTGGTCGCAGTGTCGGTCGAGCTCTTGAATGAGAAGTGGACGCGTACCCAACCAACGAACCAACTTCTTCATGGGGAGTCCCTGGTTGCCGACCATGCCGAACATGCACATATTAGAGGTGCACTCGTAGTTGTCCTGCCTGAGCTTGACGATTGCCTCCTCGCGCCACGAGTCGGCAGTAGCGGGATTCTCAAGCAGGGCGTGATTGCCGTAGTCCTTCTGTTGATCGAAGATGTCCTTCGTGAAGGTGATGAAGCACCGCTCCTCATCGCGTAGGTCCTCCAGCACCTCGGGCATCTCCTTGTAGTTGACGTTGCGGTTGAGCAGCGACCAGAGTGTACACGGAAGCTGGATGATGACCAAGCGTGGCCGCCACCTGTCGATCGTATCGAGCACTTCCTTCCTGGCCTTCTGCTTCTTCAAGTCCTGACCGAACAGCTTGTCCACCGGTTGGAGAGCTCGCATGCCCCAGCCGTTGGCGCGGTCGGTGGCATGCAGGGCGATGCCGCACTCGCCCGCGAAGATCTCGTAGATGTCGAAGCCGCGTCGCTGGCGTCGTGGAAAACGGCTCTTCTGCATTCGTCTCTCATAGACGCGCTTCTCGAGCTGCAAGTTGTTGTAGACGGAATTGGCCATGCCGTAGTACCTCTTCGCCTGACCCGTCGTTAATTGGCTTCCGCCTGAGGTGGTCGCTCCCAGCTCGAGTCCTGCTCCTCGCTCATCGCCTCCGCGCTTGGTGACCTCCTCCTTCGTAGACTCGATGATCTTCGTGTCGCAGGCGGGCGCCCAGGCCGTGCTGATGGAGGTAAGCGCTGAGCCGACGAGGAACGCGGCGCGCATGAACTGCTTACCGATGAATTGATGCGATCGATCTTTGCGCCTGGAGTCTCTCGCGTCCCGTGGAGATTCCAAAAGATCACGTCCTTCGCCCTGATCTGGTACTTCTCGCCCTTCCAGACCGTCCCGCAATAGAGGCACTCCTTGAACCTCCCGGCTGGAACTGTGTACTCGTGCTCCCCGTTGGTAGGATGGCAGCACGTCTTGTTCAGATCTGGATAGCATGACATCTTTGTCCGTGATCCTGTCCTGGTATCGGGAATGAAGCTGTCCACGGTCTTGTCCTGACACAGAATCTGCATCGCTGGAAACTGTTTGCTGAGAAAGCTGTCGATCACTTTGTACCTTTGATTCCTGTCGAACATTCTGATGACCACAAACACTGCCTGAATAAGAATCGCCCATCGTGCCCGCAGGTCTTCGGTAGTGACCTTGGGAGTCCGTGGCACACACGGTCTCTGGATATGGAGAATGAAGATCGTTTGAGGCTGTCCTCTTAGAATGACCTGGCGCCGAAATGGCTCTGGTATCGATCGTGTAGTTTGCTTCGGCTGAGAACGGAACATGTCGATGGATCTCCGTGTCACTGTTTCGTTCCCCATCGTCATTCTCCTGGCGTATTCTCGTAGATCGCCCCGGACCCGGGCCCCAATCGTGGTCTCGGAAATACTCATAGAACTTGTCGATCGAATCGGGGACGTTTCGACGTAGCTGAGGTACTGCTCGATCGGGTTCGGGCTTGCGGTGTCGTAGTTCTCGGTGCTGTCGTTCGACTCGATCGGGATAAGGTACGTCGTGGTGTTCTCGGTCGGCTCGATCGGAATGATGTACTTCGTGTTGATCTCGGTTGTCTCGATCGGTGACGTGAGCTGACCGACGATCGCAGAGAGATAGTGAGATGTGATTCGACTCTCGCAGGCTGCACTCGCACACCGAAACTGTATATGTGTCAATCTCAAAGCCTGCGTCGACTGGAAAACCTGTAACTGGCCAGTCGTCGATCCAAACTGCGAGATTTCCACTCTTAGACATCACCAGCTGTACGTTCGGAAGCTGAGCGGCCAGAAAATGGACTCGAGAACCAGCGAGGTCGATCACGCAACCAAGATCTGTCATCAAGTCTCTTCCACCCAGGAAAGGTAAACGAGCCGTCACCACGTCATCAATCGTTGAAGTGTGCAAAACCATCGCACGTCCGCGAACTCCGACTGGCATTGACCAACGTTCTGTACTCGTCATCGGCTCGCCAGGGCCGAAGCGATACAGTTCACGTTCGGGTTGAGAGCATACCTGTAGACCCAGTCGGTCTAGATAGCGTTCTTGAAATAGTCGAAGCCCTCGTAGTCCAGAGACCGTCGTCTGGCACGCAGTGTCGAGCACCAGAGGGTTGGCGTCGCTGTCGATGTTCACCGTGCTGAAAAACGTCCTTCACCATCGTCATCATGTAGATCGAGCGCTCCTTATGGAAGCTCTTCGTATTGAACCTCGTCCTCTGGCCGCCGTTGCCGTACGTCATCATGATGTGTCGTGCGTGATCGGGCTCTTGTTGTGATGTACTTGTCTCGTGAAATCCGTATTCTCGGACAGCACTCTGACGTCGTGAACCGGCAACCTGAGGCGGCGTCGTACCGAGTGTCTCGTGGATATTGTTGGTCGCCGCTAGGACCTGATGTACATACTCAGATTCACAAACTGTGGGTAATCTGTTCGCACTGTAACCGTGTCTCGTCGAAGCCGAAGATGCGCCTGAAGTCGTTCGTCCATCTTGATCGTGTTCGTGTTGGGCAGGCTGCTGATGGGCAGGTGGCCACCAGGCGTCGGAGGACTGCGATGCTTCGTTCGCACTCCGTGTAGCCGTCGTACCCGTTGATGTTCTCTTGGAGGCTGGCGCTCGGCACTGGCGGTCACCTGCCCAATGGCCGATCTCGCCACACGCCGAGCAGTTGGTCACCTTCTTGAGGTCCTCCAACGACATGCCACGTCGCGCCTTGCCTCCGTCATTGCCCTTGCCTTTGCCGGAACGATTCGGCTGGTAGCCCTTGCCGTGCTTACCTTTGCCCTTGCTGCCCTTCGTGTTGTAGTAACCTCGTGCTCTGTTGGCCTGATTGAGAAGATCATGAGCCTGCTTGAACGTAACACGAGCAGTGTGAATCTCTCTAGCCAACGCCTCGGGTAGCTGCTCGTCCCAGAAGTCGCCGGAATCTTCCTCCCAGCTGTTGTCGTACGAGTCATCATGTCCAAAATCTGCGTCAGTCACCTGCCAATCCTCATGGTCGTGCTGGTAGTCGGGCTCGGTGACCTCCCTCTCGTACGTATCCTGGTTCGTGACGTGAGCACTATACTGAGGTCTGTACTTGCGATCTCCTTGAAATCTGTTGCGAGGCACCAGCGGCATGGGAAATAGAATAGCCGCTTGCTCCTTCAGGGGCTTCCACTCGAACTTCGAACCTGCGGCCATCAATAATGTGGCCTGTGTCTTGTGGTCCAGCTGCGAACTCTTCATGAACTGCCTAATGATGATTGGATCTGGAATGGCCAAATCCACCGATCTTGCCTGGAGCACTGCCTTGTCCACTCGAGTGGCGAGCTGGAGTAAGGTCTCGCCTGGCTCAACGTGCTCCATATGAAAGAAATCGTCCATTGCGGCGCCTATCTTGACCGTCGGGCGTTGATCGAAATATGCCAACCTGTCGAGTAAGAGCTCCACACCATTTGGAACTGCGAAAACTGCCGGGCTCTCGCCCTCTACGTGGTCGAAAGCTTTGTCTCTGAGCGCTGCATACAGTCTTGGTGCCATCTCCTCGGGGCCGATGATGTTCTTCGCAATCAAAACCCAGTTCTCGACCTGCGCCTTGTAGCGTCTGAATATCTTGGGATCCTCCATGTTGCCATCGAACTCTGGAGGTGGCGGTAGGTTACCTCGAGGTCTGGAGCGAGGATCGTCTTGTGGATCACGACCTTTTCCTCGCTTGCCTCCCTTGGCCGAGAACTCCCCATCATCGTCATCATTGCCCTCATCTGCAGCAGCGCGGCCACCAGCTGGTGGCGTGTTGGGGGGTGTACTCCTCCTCGACATGGCGGCACTTGTCCGTAGGAAAGTTGCTCTGCGCTACCAATTCAATAATGTTAACTCGAAACTAAGGTTTCTCGGAGCGTGGTCCGATGCACAGGACCTTTGGGATCTCTGGAGCGTGGGCTCTGCGAGCCTCAAAGCCTTTTCTCGCCTGGTTGCACACAAGCGGGCGCTGTCGCCAAACAGCTCAAGGGCCCTCCGAAGCCCAGACGGCAGCGGAGGCAGCGGGTGAGAGGGAGCGAACGGGAGCAGGCACGGGTAACCAGTGCACATGAGACGCGATAGAGGGGATTGGGGCAATGGTAAACGTGAGCGAGATTGCAACACACACAACACGCACACAACACACACAACACACAACAAACACAACACCCAACACACACACAACACACAGTACACACACAACACACACAACACACAACACACACAACACGCACCATACACACAACACACACAACACACAACACACACAACACACAACACGCACAACACACAACACACAACACACACAATACACACAACACACACACAACACACACAACGCACACACAACACACACCACACACACACACAACACCCAACGCACACACAACACACACAAAGCACACACCACACACACCACACACACAACACACAACATACAACACACACACAACACACAACGCACACACACACACACACACGCACGCACAGAACACACGCACACACGCACGCACGCACGCACGCACGCACACACACACACAAACGCACACACGCATGCACGCGCACGCGCACGCGCAAGCGCACGCGCACGCGCACGCGCACGCGCACGCGCACGCACACGCACACGCACACGCACGCGCGCACGCACACGCACACCCACACGCACGCGCACGCGCACGCGCACACGCACACACACACACACACACCCACACCCACACCCACACCCACACCCACACCCGCTCACACACACACACACACACGCACGCACGCACGCACGCACGCACGCACGCACGCACACACACACACACACACACACACACACACACACAACACACAGCACACACACAACACACAGCACACACACACAACGTACACACACCACACACACACACACACACACGCGCACGCACGGACGCACGCACGCA